CCTAGACGTGCGGTGGTTTCACAGTGCGACCACTACCCACAGAACAATGGGCAAGAGTAGAGTTTTTTAAATTCATATATTATTTGTCTCTAGGATCATAATATTCAATTTCTAGAGTTTTTAGTTAAAAAAATTATAAAAATGATATCGCGCGCCTCAAAGGGTTAAGGCATAAAAGTTAAATAGTGACACCTGTTTAACAGGCCCATAACCAATCAAGGAAGGGAAAATTGCAGATGTATAAATATGTGGCTGGCTCAGCAAAACTTAATTGATGTTTGTTTCACTGTGATTAATCAGAACTTATATCAAGTTGGCATAAAGTTGAAAAGTTAGAAATTTTTGACAAATTCTTAAACCAAATATGACAAGCAAGGTCTGGTTGCCTAGCAGTGAAACTAGGCTTAAATCTCATGTGATTTTAAAACTTTTATGTGCAGGGCCCGACTTAGCCTAATTGGGGCCCGGGACAGAAACGTCTTTGGGGGCTCCCCTCTGCTTCACTATTTCAGTAATGAAGAACTCAACTTTATGGAGGTATTTAACTTTTTCATCTCGTTATAGATATATAACAAGAAAATTCACTAAAACCTAAAATAGCTATAAAATCCCTCCCCTTCCCAGTAGTCAGACGAAATATAGTTCTGTCCATTTTATTGATTTTCTCACAATTCTATGTCCATCCTTAAAAGGATATAGCACATCTGAAGAGCCAAAATTTGTCAAAAATGCTGTTTAAATTTATAATTAAAAATGTAAAGACTTTTTTAGCAATTTGAATTAATTAACGAAAAATACCATAGACAAGTCCTATGCTCTTAGAGAATAGGCTAAAAAGCTTTTTTCGATGCATGCCGCATCGTCTTGATAATCTAGTTAACAATCATATCACTGCAGTTTGTGAACTTTTTCACAAGTTTCTGAAATGCAGTTTTCTGATTGTTAACTTTGTCATCTAGCTGCGATAAATTTCATATCTTTGCTGACATTAGGGCGGAATTCAGCTAAATTTTCGTAATTATGATGGCTCTATTAAGCCAATCAAAAGCCCGTACTTTTGTAAACATATCGCATTTTGTGATTTGTCTATCGTAATTGCGAAAATTTAGCTGAATTCCGCACTATAAATTCATGGATTTATGGAATGTAGATTTTTTGTGTTCATACAATAGATTAATGAAGAAGTTAACATAAAACTGACAGATTTTACACTGTACTGATACTTTGTTTAAAAAAAAAGTTCATTATAGAAGGAAACGTAAAGTAAACTTTCTATTCGATTTAGGGGCCCAAGGCATATGCCCCGTATGCCCCTGTCTTAGTCAGACTCTGGTTACGTGAATGAAGCTTAAAAAAAGTATTTTTTCAACCATTGCAATATCTCCACCAGCATTAACTAGTAATAGCAAGTGTGTAGGATCTATTGCTTAACCCTTTGAGGAGCATTATTTTTTGAACCTACATCTGAAGAGCTGTACTTAGCACTAAGGTGGTGGCCAAAATACAGGTCAGAGTTTGCAGCATCTCAAAATGACGGCTGTGATCGAAATATCGGCCAGAATAATTCTGCCCCTCCCCCAGCTAATTTTCTCAATGAAATTCTGACTTCAGGCTTTGAGAATTTTATTGTCTGATGACCTTCCCTGCCTCTCGTCCGATGACTTTTGTGCCCAGTAAATGCTACTCACAACTATAAGGTTTTCTAAATTATCTTTTGTTCTCCCTTAACAGTAGAATATTAGCTCGAAGCAAAAAACGTTCCCTATGTTTCACATAATTCATTTATTTTCCAGAAATCTACACTAATACTGCCATCTGAAAGATGGAAAATGCATTGCAATACAATGAAAATATAATCAGTAAAAAGTTTTTTTAAACTTAAGGAGATTAAAAAGAATGCACAAATAAAAAAGAAAACTATTATCATAGATATGCAAGAAAGAAAAACGAACAATAGTATAGTTTGAATGATAAAATTACTGAATGATGCATTTACTACAATACAAAGAGAAAAATATCAATAATATTTTTAAGCTAAATGAGAATATTAAAAAATATACTGATTTGAAAAAAGAAGCTAATATAATTAAAACATTTGGTTAATGTACACTCTTTTGCGAAAAAATCGAAGCACCAAGAAGGACCTTTGCAATCGTGACGAAATTTGGTATGCAAAAACATCTTGCTCGAACATGCAAATGATCAAAGTTTCAAGGCAAATGAACAGGAATTGCGATCATAGCGCGCATTTCTACTGCGCAATTCGCAAAGTATAAAACTAGTAACAGAGGCGGAAAATTTATCTTTTTTTGTTGCTGCCATTTCAATTCCGTAAAGATGCCATTACGACGATATCGAAGACCTAACAGATAACTAAACGATTTCGAACGTGGTCACATTGTAGAGTTGCGTGAAGCTGGGTGGTCATACCTAGCAATAGGCCGCCACCTGCAGCGTATAGCCACTGTTGTGCTTTTGGCAGCAAAGGTTGCTACAAATTGCCGACGAAATTAAGGTTCTGGAAGTCCAAGAATCACAAATGCGAGGCAAGATATGATGATTTTTTCGCTAGGTCCGAACCGGCCCAACGGTATCATTGTCGACTATTCAACGCACTACCAGCCACGCCTATACCTCCCGCGGTACCGTTCACCATCTCACGGCGCTTGTCTGAGGCGGGGTTAAGCTCAGAGAGACCTTTAAGACGTTTACTTTTGACCCCACAACATCGGTGGAGCAGATGACCACCGTGTTCGTGTCTAGAGAGGACGGGGCCAGCGGTCCCAATCAGCCTTTGTTTTACAAAGGCATACAGCCATAACCCCTGGTGTGATAGTGTGGGGCACTATTTCTTGTGAAAGCAGGTCATCTTTAGTTATCCTCCGTACATCTTTAACAGCTCAACGATATGTTGATACCATCCTGCGGACGGTTGCATTACCCTTCATCGCACGTTATCCTGGGGCTATTTTCTAACAAGATGGGTGGCCAGGCCACATACCGCTCACATATATCTCTGAACCACCTCCGTGCGGTTGGACCAATGGAGCATGTTTGGGACATGTTAGGCCGCCAGATTTGGGTATCACAAAATATGGTAGATCTGGAGCTCCAACTGATGAAAGCCTAGCAGAATGTGTCGCAGGATGACATTAGGAACCTCTACCACGTAAAAATATCTCGATCGTTACCGCTGTCAAAGCTTCACAAGCAAAAGAGACTGCAATGGGTTCGAAACCACGTGGCATATGGTAACAAATGGATCTCTGTATTTTCAGTGATGAAAAAAAATGGAATCTAGCTGGTCCTGGCGGGTATTCATATTACTGGCATGAGTTATGAAAAGAGTCAATCTGTTATGGTGTGTGCAGCTTTTGGTTTCAACTGGTAAGTGGGTTTCACCTTTCTTAGATGGTCGGCAAGATTCGTCTAAATACATAGAAACACTAAGAGACCATCTTATGCCATTTGCGGATAACATTGGAGGACAGAATTGGCTGTACCAACCTGACAGTGCTCTCATTCATACCTCTGATGCTACAAAAAATTACCTAGACATGGGAAATGTTACTTCTTGAGTGGCCGCCAGTGAGCTCCGATTTCAACTCGATCTAGAATGTGTGGGGTATTATGTTTCGGAGAGTTTACGAGAATGGAAAACAGTTTTCTTCCGTGAATGCCTTAAAAGCAGCCTTTGAGAGTGCATGGTACAATGTGGAACCAGAGTTATTACAAACTGAGTTCTCTCGATGAAGCAACGTTTATTCGACGTTGTACGGAATAATGGGGCGACTTTGAAATATTAAGTAATTTTAAATTGATCACAAGTTGTTAAAATGTTAATATTCTGTAAACTTTTGGGAAGCACATTCTTCTGTTTTTTTTTTTTTTTTTTTTTTTTATTTTTATTTTTTCTAAAATACAAATTTCTATTTTAGATAAATATTTACTGGAATGCAAATCACATGTTTTGTATCTCGGCAACCGGGTTAAGCACAAAAGCATTAAACGTTAAGCTTTGCCTTGGTTTGGTTCAGAAACAGGCTGATGTATTTACTTCTTTCGCTTCACCAAACCCCTGATGACGATTCAGCGAAAGATGTAAGTCGTAATATCACCATTCTATACGATGTTACAACTGCCACGCTTTCTACCACATATAAGCTGTGCAATCTGACTCGGAAAGTTCTTAGTCACGAATCTGGTATCTTCGGGAGCGCAGATTCTTTTCTTCCTCAAATTGTATGATTCCTTTGATACTGATTCCAAAGTCTATCTATGATGCTACGATATATGAAGCAACCCTGCCGTTATTGTCCTGTCTTCGATCAGCTTTCAGCATCCTTTCATTTTATTCACTTCCAAATGGTTCCTTTTTTACATTGTCACTTACATTTATACAAACTGAAATTTTGCGGAATCAAGCAAGTCAGAATAAGCTACTTTTTAATCGTGCTTCGATTCAATTAGTCTTTAGTTATGAACTAAATTTATGTTACATATTTAAAATCGCTACAGTATTTTAAATTGGTTATGTAAATTTCACATTTTAATTCCAGTGTTAAAGTTTATATGACAATTTTCCCATTCGTTGATTTATTGTTGAGCAGTAGTGTGCAAAAGAAAATTGTGGAAAATCAGTGTATAATGATTTCCATCGTTACACATTTTTGTAACGTGATTTTATAAATAAAGATATTGAATTTTTTCCTCTAAACATTAAAATTCTTTTATGTTGTATAAAAGCAATGTGTAATTTGCAAGAAAAACTGTTTGATCGTTAATAACCTTTAAGTCAAATTACACAATATGCGAAAATTCAACTGAAGTTGATGGCAAATATTGTTTAAGAGCTGTACACCAGTAGCAAGTACGAAGTCTGCAAAAGGGCAATACACTTGTGGCCCTTGCATCCTAATCTTTGAAACTGTTTTTCTCAAATTATGCATTTTTTAATGTACCTGACTCATTTTGATTCTTTTTTGCTTTCTCTTCTTTAGGTATTCATGCTTCCCGTTACATCACAACGCATGGTGTTGCAATTAATAGCAATGTAGATTTAAATTGGTTTAGTCACATTGTTCCATGTGGTCTTGTAGATAAAGATGTAACATCTTTATCCGAAGAACTGCAGCGAAATGTCACTGTTGAAGAAACTATGCCTGTTTTCTTACGTCATTTTAAAAAGCATTTTCCTTGTGAATTTTTATATGAAAATTAATATTATGGAATAAAGTTTATTAAATGTTATCTGCTTTATTTTTTTATAGAATATAGATTTATTTATTATTTATATATAGATTTATATATAGATTTATTTATTTAAAAATAAAATTTTTTTTAAACACTCTGTAAATTCTAAGTAGAGGCATCTCAAATGTATCATAGCCGATATTGAGGGAAAAGTGCAGTTTGCACATCATGATTAAAGGTTTTCATGAAGAGAAATAAAGTAGATCTGAGTCTTACTCTTTCGTTCTGCTATAAACTTATTTTGTATTAATTCTAATGTAATTGCGATATTTCTTTTTAAGGGCGATATCCAGTATTTCTGTCCTGTAAAAGAAAAATATAACAATCTCCTTTTTAAGCAATGCGTTATCCTGTAATGGATAAATTAATTTAAGATTATCCATGTACGTAAAATATGGCATTAGAAATGTCTTTTGTTAAATGCACTAACAATGCAATTGTTACTAAAAAGTTATATAAATTATATCAAACAAATATATATTATTAGTGAAAGAATTAAATTATTAAAAATTAAAGATAATTGTTTAGAAGTATATATTTTTTATAATTAATTTCTTAAAAAAGCCAGTTTTTTTTTTTTTTAAATCTCTGATATGTAGCTGTAGCTATGGCAATAAGCCTAACCATAAGAATAAACAATGCTGTGTTGATGTACTGTAACGTGATATAAATGGTGAGAAGACTAGACAATGTACTCTCTGACAAAACATTCCTTTTTTAATGGAAGTGATCCCTTTTTCTGGACATAATCATTATCAAAAGTTACAGTGAAAAGAGTCTTAGCTGATCATATTCCGGATTTTTTTTTTTTTTTTTTTTTTTTTTTTTTTAACATTATATATAACATATATCGCAAAATTCTTGATACAGTTGTGAATTGAATTTATTTCACTGCAAATCTATCATATTATGATCACTATATAACTGTACCACCATTATTTACATTGCCGCAGATGTAAGATGGGCATTAAAGTCTTTTCCTCAAAAATTATATTTTCTATCTCCGATGCAATTAAATATGCTTGATTCTACTTATAACTCCCAAAAATGTTTTCATCAGAATCATGCAAGAAAAAAGATAAATACAGATTCCAAATGTGATAATAAACCATTGAAAACAAAAGAAGATATAATTAATAAGCAGTGGAGGGGTTATCGATATGATATCAATATTTTCTCACTCGGTCTAGAAAACTGCTAAACAAACCAGAAATAACATCCAACATCATTAGTATTAAAAATAAACAAAATTCTCAGGTATTTTACGTTACTGCTATTTCAGAAGCTTTCACTTAATAAAGAACGTTTCAGATTTTAAATTACGTCCAAAGGGGCATTTTTTAAAAATTTTGTGTGTTACATTTATTTATTATGTATCACGTTTTTCGCACTTAAACCATAAAATTCAGTTCAACAGCAATATCGCAAAATAATTTTAAAATGAACATATCTTTAGAATTTCCGATACAGAGACTCACGCGTTGGAGATAAAAATGTTTTTTCTGTATAACGTTGCCATTGCTCGCTTTGAAACCCTTGAGTTTGTTAATCAAAAATTCGTTACAGTTTAACAAAATAGGAAATCGATCATAAAACAAATTCCATTCAGTTTTTGGTTTTCCACATGCCCATATTCTTAAGAGGATTATGTCATTCAAAATTCGATGGCTCTATGTACCGTTGTTTTATCACAATGAGAGAAATACACATACATTTATGCAGATTTTTCATTATTTAATTTCTTTAAATATAACACAGGGCGATAATACTTTTTGGAAACAGTTTGAAAAGTGATTTGCCGTTTGTTGTGAATCCACGCAAAATCTCAAAACAAAAACAATGGTCTTTCAGGGACAAATCCCCTTTGGACCAAAAAGTCTTATTTTTGAAATATATTTGTATTTTGAAATAGACAGTGTGAAATGACATGCTTTTCCATCTACTAGTAATTTAATTTTTTAAATTACTTTACGTATATAATAATTTAATCGATTTCATACTGGCCATCGGCACTAAACGTCAAAACAGCAAATAATCGGTTTCTGCGAATTATACGTATTATAATGGCTATGTTATTTTTATCGTTTGTTACCATAATAATAACACGGTCATTGTAGTACAATGTTATTTTTACAGCAAGTAATCGCCATCGAGCTAGCATAAAAGACACATGTGAAGGTTATTTAAAAATAATGCGCTATTTCCCCCCCCCCCAAGTTTTTTTTTTTTTTTTTTTTTTTTTTAATTTAAATTCTAGACCCAATGGGACATGCTGCCCAGTAGGGCTATTAATTTCGTTATGGTATTTTACGTGGGTTCACTATAAATGTCGGTTTACTTTTCAAATTGTTGCCACCAAATATTAGAGTCCTGCATTATATTTAAAGAAATTAAATAATGAAGAATCTGTATGACTGTATGTGTGTTTCTTGCACTGGGAAAAAACAACGGTACCTAGAGACACCAAATTTTGAGTAACGTGGTCCTCGATTCAAATATGGGCATCTGGAAGCCCAAATTTGGAATTTGTTTTATCTATCTCATATTTTGTCAAACATTAAAGAATTTTTGATTAACAAACTCAACGATTTCAAAGCGAGCAATGGCAACACTGTACCCCCCCCCCGAAAAAAAAAAGAGAGAGAGAGAAGAAAATTCACTGAGATGTGTATCGGAAATTCTAAAGATATGCTGTTTTAAATGTTTTGTGATATTGCTGTTGAATTTAATTTTATGGCTTAAGTGCAAATGATATTTAATAAGTGAAGATAACACAACGTTAAAAAACGCCCCTTTGGGCGTAATATAAAATTTGAAAGCTTTCAGATTTTTTAATCATTTATTTATTTTAATTCCAGGAAATTTCTTTGTATAATCCTTCTAGTCCCTTTACTTCAGATTTAGTGTTCTGGAAGATTTGCTATTCTTTGTAGGAAGTAGTAGTAGTAGGTAGATAGTGGAAATGAGTGAGGCACCAGACTTCACTATGGATCGTACAAGTAACGCCCCAGCACACTAACCCATCTTCAGAATTAACCCCACCATGGTGCTATTAGTACATTGCTGAGTTTGAATGAAAGAGGTGATGGCTTAATGTAGGGATATTTCTGATATCACAGTTGGGTATTTGGTACATGATGTGTTCCGTAGTACGTGTTCATCCAAGCAAATTCCTGTTTCATTGAATCGTGCAGTTGTATAGTCTATTGTTTTATACAGTGCATTGTGGATGCTGATTACATTTAACTTGTCATGCACTATTCTGTCGTCAGGATGTGTCGTTATGTTATTATAAGGTCTGAATGGTAGGTCAATGTTGGAGGATTCTTTCCAAGTAGAATTCTTTTGTAAGCAGATAATTTGAAAACGATTCTTTATAGGATACTGCTTTTTTCCTTCTTCGGATGGCTTGAGGACTTGCTGGAGAAACCTCTTTTTATAGGCGAAAATCGCAATCCATACAGGTGCTGTTTAAAATTAGAATCGTAAGAAGTTTGGTGGACTTACGTATTGAATTAAAATTATGGTTGAGGTAAAACTTCTTATTCGTATTTGGTTGCAACCTTTTTCATGTTCAACCCTATTTTTATTGTTTATTAGCATAATTTATCAACCCTATTTATATTTTTTGTTACCATTATTTATAATTAATGCAAGTGAAGTGGTTGTCACGCATTTTTCTGCAAGATTTTCGCAAACTCTCACAATAATACGTTGCAGTCGCATTTTTTACAGCTGGAACTCTTAACTAATCTTAATGATTTGCTTCTTCTTTCTCATAATGCAATTTCTGATTAGTAATGGTGGATTTCTCATTCTCCAACTTGTGAGTCATGTGTCAATTGATATAAAATTATCTCCTATCATTTAGCGAATTAGTAAGAAAGCTCTAGAAATAGAAAAAAGCGCTTTGTAGAAAAGAAATTGTAACTACTCTCGATTCTCGCTTTTGCTCTCTCTTGAGATATTTCCTTTTTTTATTGTTTCATCATTAATTAGAATTCCTTGCACCGTGTTGTTTGGGAAATTTTCAGTTTACATATAGTTTTTTATCTAGCTGCAATTACCAAGAGCATTATAACTTTTTAACAATTTATCCTTTCCTTTTAGGCTCAAGTCTGCGCTTGGCATTTTGATAAATGAAGCACACAACAAATTAAAAAAGAATTTCTTATTACAGCGATTTATTTAAATTTTAAAATTTGCGTTTCTAGCCAGCAGAAAGATTATCCTTTGTCTCTTTAGTCGATCCTGCCGGTTTCAAGCATGACGAACGTTCTTTTTTTTTTTTTTTTTTTTTTTTTTCCGACCCCAGTCTACAGTCAAAACATCCTTTTCCATTTAAAGACTCTTAATGTACCGTAAATCATAAGCATTTCATCAATTTTTTTAATAACTCTGTGCATATGATGCATCTATCCAACAGGGCGATTTGATTGGTAGACACCTTAAAAACTTGCACTTTGAGTTTCTATCGTCTGGTATTCGAGAAGGAACCCTCACTCATTTCCAATACCTCTAAAGAATTGTTTATTTTAGCCTTAAGATAAGGAAATTCTGCCTATTTGAAGTCCAGTGTGGGAAAAAAAAAAAAAAAAAAGAAAAAAGAAAGAAAGAAAGAAAGAAAGAAACTCTCTAAAAACAGTGTTTTACAGGTACAGGGACCAGGAAAACCCAGTTTTTTTTTTTTTTTTTTTTTTTTTTTTTTTTTTTTTTTTTTTTTTTTTGGTTAAACTCATTTCGTTGAAGCATTATACTATAACTCAATGTTAAAGCCACAGTCCACGGTATGTTAAATGGAAGAACTACGAAAGGCTTTGATATGTTACTAATTTTAATAACATTATTATATTTTTGGGTGAAAATTCCGCTACCAAAGGTAGTTCCACCAACTCTACTGCCATTAGTATAGATCTATACTAGTTATTATATATTATTGCGGAATGACTTCCAGGGCAACTTCCTGCGATACTCCGTGAGATGAATGCTCTTATCAA